TCACAGGGGAAGAGTATAGTATGCTTGCAGACATTTGTTGGTGTTAATAGAACTAGGTTAGAACACTGCCTGTTACTGTGATTATTATGAATAAATTTCATTTTCCTGTGAACTAGTATTATAACTACTCAGGATTAGAAAGGTAGAAGATAACATGGGGAAAATCCAGGTAATCTGTAGCTTAGTGATAACCTTTTAGATACCACACCAAAAGCATGATCCATGAATGAAAAAAAAAAGAAAAAGATAAGTTGGGCCTCACTGAAATTGAAAGCTTTCACCCTGCAAAAGATAATGTTAAGAGAGTGAGAAGGTGAGCCACAGACTGGAAGAAGATTTTTGGAAAACACGTATCTGATAAGGGACTTATATCTAAAATATACAAAGAGCTCTTAAAACTCAACAGTAACGGGGTGCCTGGGTGGAGCAGTCGGTTAAGTGTCCGACTTCAGCCAGGTCACGATCTCGCTGTCCGTGAGTTCGAGCCCCGCGTCAGGCTCTGGGCTGATGGCTCAGAGCCTGGAGCCTGTTTCTGATTCTGTGTCTCCCTCTCTCTCTGCCCCTCCCCCGTTCATGCTCTGTCTCTCTCTGTCCCAAAAATAAATAAACGTTGAAAAAAAAAACTAAAAAAAAAAAAAAAAACTCAACAGTAAGAAGAAAAATTACAAATTGGACAAAAAATCTGAACAGACATTTCACCATAGAAGATATATAGATGGCAAATAAACATAAAAAAAGGTGCTCCCTAAAAATGTTTCACATTTGCCATTAGAAAATTGCATATTAAAACAATGACATACTATGTCTCACCTATTAAAATGGCCAAAATCAAAAACACTGACAACATCTTCATCCAATTCTGATAAAGAGATGGAGCAAGAGTAACTCTCATTTATTGCTGGTGGGAATGCAAAGTGGTACAACTACTTTGGAAGGCAGTCTGATAGGGTCATATAAAGCTGAACATAGGCCTATCATTCCATCCAGGATTATTAATACACCTAGTTACTTGCCTCAATAAATTAAAAATTATATTCACACAAAAACCTGAACATGCATGTTTATAGCTGTAGCCAAGATGTCCTTCAATAAATGGATGAATAAAAAAACTGTGGTATACCCATACACGAAGGGATTATTCACACACACACACACACACACACACACACACACACACACACGAGACACAGAGAGAGAGAGAGAGAGAGAGAGAGAAAGAGAGAGAGAGAGAGAGAAATCAAACTATGAACAAGTGTGGAGGAAACTTAAAAGCCTACTGCCAAATGAAAAAAGCCACTCTCAAAATACTACATATTATGTAATTTTAATTAATGATATTCTGGAAAAAGTGAAACTTTGAAGATAGCACCAAGATCAGTTGTGACCAATGGGTTTGAGACAGGGGAACAGTGGAGGTTGGAACTCAGGACATGTTCAAGTCAGTGAAGCTATTCTGTATGATCTTATCAAGGTGGAGACATGACTTTATACATTTGTCAAAACTCAAAGAACTGTAAAACACAAAGACCAAGTATGCACTTTAATTAATAAATATCTGTCAATATTGGTTCAGTTGTAGCAAAATTCCACACTAATGAAGAAATTGTGTTGCAGATGAGGAAGAGTATATAGGAATTCTGCACATTCAATTATGTATTTTTTTCTGTAAACTAGAACTGCTCCAAAAAATTAGCCTGTTAATTGTTTAAAATAATCTAATATTTTAAAATGGTACTTCAAATGAAAAATACACTGAAATGGGTAACTTTCTGTCAAAAATGAATGAAAAATATGGAGGTAAAGAACAATAGATCTTAACTCTTCTCCTTCACACTTTATTATAAATAAATGCAATTAGAATAAAGGTTCTGATTTGAGATTGCATCTTTTTGTAATCCTTTTTTTTTCTATTTTAAATATATTTTAAATTGAAATCTAGTTTACAAAGTGATATTCTAGGTCTAGTATTAAACAAATATTAATTAAGGGTGTTATTTTTATTATGATCTATTTAGCAATAATCTTGTGAGAACACCATAGCAAATATAAATCACTTTATTTTTAAAACTACTTCCAAAATACATAATGAAATAATAAGTAGCATAATATCTAAAGTGATTTTTATTCTCTTCCAAAATTTTTAACTTGAGTGATTGACACAGATGAAAATCTGAAAGTTTCTTATTTTAAATGTCTTTCAGTTCCATTTTTCTCTTTATCTATTCCTTATTTTATGTGTTGGGATGGGTGTGTATTTATTTTATACTTTTCATTTTGGAGTAATTTTACAAAAACATTGAAAAGGAGGTACAGAGAGGTTTTTCTGTGTGTGTACTTTTACCCAGCTTCCCCTAATTTTAACATCTTAGATAGCAATGGTATATTCATCAAAATTCAGAAATTAGCATTGATACAACACTATTAATTAATGTACAAATGTTATTCTTACTTCACAGGTTTTTCCACTGATTTCTTTTTCTGTTCCAGGAAACAGGACACCATTGAATTTTTTAGTCATGCTACCACAGATTTTCTTTTGATCCGTTACAGTCTCTCAGTTTTTCCTTCTTTTTCAAATTCTTGAGAGTTTTTCAGAATAGTAAGTATTTTGTAGACTGTCTCTCAATTTGTGTTTGTCTTGATTTTTCTCAAGGTTAGACTGAGGAAGTGAACTTTTGGAAGAGTACCACAGAGGTGAAATGTCTTCACCTCATGATATCATTGGGTACATGATATCACCATGACTTTTCATGGTGATCTTAAACTTGGCCTCTTGGTTAAAATGCTCTCTACCTTCCAGTTTTCTCCTCCATAACGTTTCTATTTTCCCTTCCATTCATTATTTTTGTAAGTGTGTCACTAAGTGAAATCCACATGCAGGAAGAGAGTATCTATATATACTATCTGGAATTCTTGTGTAAGGAAAACCCACCTTTTATCTTTATTTATTTATTTATTTATTTATCATTTATTCATAACAGTATGGACTCATGGATATTTATAATGCTCTTTGAGTTAGAATCCATTATCATCAGCATTTATTTTCTTGCTTGTATTTTTCCAACTTTGGCAATGGGAGCTCTTTCAGTTCAACTCCTGTGTCCTTTAGACTACTCCTTTTCTTAAACAGAAACTATATCTGGAGAGACCTACAGGATATGTTTAGTCATTTTAGTATAAGACGGTAGTTTACCTGAGCATGCTATTAGCATCACCCCATTCTGCTACACCTTTAAGATACATTTACTGATTGTTTGTTTAATATATATTTATTGGGCACCTAATGTGTACCAGACACTGTGCTAGGCACTGTAGATTGATAGATTAAGGGATGAGATCAGAAATATAACAAGGTGCTGATGATGCAGATCCTACAGACCTTCGCGGAGAACTTCGGAGTTTTTGCTACATAAAATAGAAAGACACTGCAGTGTGTTGAGCAGATTACTGCAAGGTCTGCTTTTGCATAGAGCCTGATCAATCTAGCTGCTATATTAAAATGATAATAGATCGCCCAGTATTCACACAGAAAGACTAGTTTGGAAAAGCAACACAGGTGAGGTTGATGCTTTGAAGGTCGCTGTGGGATGGTGACAAGACTGTGTTCTGGGTTTCTAATGGATTAGATCTGAGCTGTGGGAGAAAAGGGATGGAGTGTTGTGCAACTTGGGTGGTGAAATTGCACAACACGTGTGTATGTGTAACAGGCACACAAACATATATATATATTTGTCTTCTCTGTTTTTAAAAGATTACATATTGAATGTAATGGTTGTCTAGAATATGAAAATGATAACTGCACAATGTGTACGTGGATCTTCATTGCATAATGTTTGGTCACAATTAAAAATCATTATGTTATTTTGTTTAATTATAACAGTAAATATTAGCCATATATATATATATATATATATATATATATATATACACACACACACATATATATTCACTTCTCTATAATTCTGGCCACTTGATTCTTCATGTCTTCATTGTAAATAACATCTCAGAATATTTTCCTGTAATATCCCCTTGATACAGTGACAATATATTTTGGATATTTTTCAGTTGTTTCTTCACCAGATATATAGGTATCGAAGTGCTTTGAGTCTTTTCAACAAACCCCTTTTTCCAGGTTGTTTAACATTCTTCATTGTTTATAATGATAGTATTTGAATTTGTCATAACTTAGTGCTGTGGTAAATGTAATGTTTAGTATTAATTTTTTATATAAATTCAAAGATTTGCCAATAACATATAATGTTTAGAAATGTTAAAATGAGATTTACTTATTTTTCCTTAAGTTATAAAATTGCTTTCTACGTATTCCAATCTCATGGATGATGTTCCATCTTTCTATTCCCTGTACAGTGAAGAATTCATCCTTTTTGTAACATATATATGTTTATTTGTATATATAATTTATATTATATTATATTGTGCTATATAACATTTAATATTTATATATTAAATATATATTTATATATTTATATTTATTTATATCTATTTAAAACATGCCACAAATCTTTCTCTTAAGCAACACTTATAAAAAATTTTGTTATGTAATTATGTACTAGGTGTTTTTTAATTTATCTATAAGATATCCCTATGCTAATTTTAAATACATCTAAATGTGAATGTGTCAGTAATAATATATTTGTTTGAGGTGCATGCAGAATTCAGAGATAAAAACTCTATTCTTTTCTTGCTTTGGAATTTCAGATACTAGTGGCCATATTAAGAAGCAGAGATAAAAGGAGAAAGCAAGAAATAATTGGAATGCTGGTAAAGTAATCCTCTACACTGCAGCAATTTACAATAGTGTGTTATATATAGAAATAGATCAGTCATTGTTTTCAAGCCTGCTAAATAAAACTGAACTCTTGGAATGGCATGGCACTTGACCTTTCCTGGTTTCACCCACAGTATTTAAACTGGTGCAAAGGGAACACACTGGCAAGTGTCTTCTGTTGACATGACAGATTCTCCTGGTAATTCACACAATGTTCAAAAGGCACAAGTCCCTTGCTTCAGAACGCAAGAGAGAAATATTTTCCCGAGGAGCTACACGGTCCATCCTGAAGAATGACTTGAGAAACTTCCACTGTTTGTCGCATTTTGTGCTCTCAGCGGGCCCTCTAAAATCTATTCCAGTAGTTAAACATTCAAAAACTACGCACTTTGAGATTGAAGTACTTGATGCTCAAACAAGAAAGCAGATATGTATTGTGGATAAGGTAAGTTATATTTGTTCACTTAAATTTCTCTTATCTGCACCAAAGATTATTGGTCACTTGATTAAATGCTGACGAAGTTGTATCAAAACATAGTCCTGGCTTTTAACGTTAGTTTTATGATGAGTAGGATAGATACTTCATATACTATTTCAGTGGAAGATATTCATAGTCAGTTTAAATAGTAGCTAATTATTATGTCTGTTTTTTCTGTTAAGGTGGACCATTGTGGAGAGGTAAAATTTCCAATGCTCAGCTTCTCAGCCTTCACAACAAAATTTCCCTAGGTTTTTCTCTCTGTATACTTCATTACGTATTCAAATTATCATAGAGTTTATTAGTGTTCACAGAAAATGGCAAGCAAAAGGCGACAAACTTACTAAAAATGATATTTAGCATATATGATACAGTCTAGTCATTTAAAAATTATTTAGAATTCATTGTCTTGAAAAATGAACATCTCGCTTTTTATGGAAAGTTTACTTATTTCAAAATTACAGTGTTTAAATTCCTTAAAAAAGTCTCGCTTAATATGTTAAACATTTTTATATTCACGTCAAAGATGTTTCATTCAGAAAAGATAAAATATATACTTCCTGGGTTAGAAAATTAACACATAAATATACGTGTACATCATGGATATACGTATGTATATACAATATTTCATCCATTGTCTGTTTTTCATTGGCTTGAAAGGTCACTAGTAGTTTAATTTATTGAGAAAGATTGACATTTTTTACAACAATATATTTTCATTTATTTTGCTATACAGACATGTCAAATAAGTTTTTTTCTATTGTTCTAAAAATAAAATTCAGTCACTGATTCCATTTAACTATACTCTAGCTATTTTTCTGGATAAGAGGGAGAGACAAAACTGTTCCTGCTTTTAATTGCAGAAGATCATACGTACTTTCTCACTTAGTAATTGTAAATCTATGACCAACCTATTAGCTAGTAACAGTAACTTTTATTTACATATGGAAATAAAAGATAAAGAACTTTACAAGTTCATAAAGTTCATAAGTGGAATGCAAGAGATTCAAAACTATTTGTATAGAATTCCAAATCACATTATTTTTCAATACTACCACTAGAGTCATATATAAATGAATATATATTGTGGTAATAGAATTTTAACATAAATTTCATGCATGTTGTAATTTACTTCTATTTTAATACCTCAATAAGGTTTTTGGGTTTTTTTATATCATACAAGACTAAGACAAAACAAAACAAAAAATCACCCAGAGGTTACTGATGTTTGTATTATTTCACTCTTAAAAATTTAAAACTCATCAGAAAAATACAATTAAATTAAAGGAAAGAAGGTAGTGAATAGATACTGAATTGGTCAAGGATTTTCAAAGATCAAGATTCTAAAATGAGACTGGCTTTTGTGTCCTTTCTGACTTGTGTCTAAACCTTGATGCAAAATCCATCTCAGAGTAATGAGAAACCGCTAATGGGCTGCTAATTATTTTTTCCCATATATTTAAATTTTGATATTGAGATTGTATTTGAAGGTAAGACATGGGGGTTTACATTTTCAATTATTAATTAAATTGTGAAAGAAATTAAGCATGCAGAAAGCCAATATTCTTTAGAGACAAAGATTTGGTTTAGGAATTTTGGTTTAAAGGCAGACAGTCTCTCTGCTGTCATGTTATCCCTCCTTTGTGGTATATTCAATAAACTATCTCCTTTAAAAAGAAAAGGAATTTTGGTATAGAAATTTTGCTTACATTTCAGTAATTCTTGTAATTGCACTACCAGTAGCAAACCTTTAGGGAAACTCAGTAGGCCACATTAGGGGATTATTTCTGGATTCCTCACCAGCCTTTATTGCACAATTAACACCAGATGATGTGGAAGTTAAAACATCCAAGTCTTTGACTTGTCAGTAAAACTGGATTTTGTTTTGTCTTGTTTTAGTTTGGTAGCTTGATAAATTGTCCCAACAATGCAAGACATTTAAAAGAAAAAAATTCTGGATTAATTCACATTTTTTTGCTTCATGATTCCTAAAAGTTCAAATTTATAAATATGAGAAAGACTGATTTTGTTTATTGTTCAGGATACTGTTTTGCCTAGACAAAGTAACAGCTATCTTAGCAGTAAGGTCATGGTAAGTGCCTTTCATTGTACTTGGCTCTACTCAACATACTAAATAAGTATTGCTTATGACAGTGCCTATCTTTCGGTAAGCACTGTGTTACAAAGCAGTAAAAGTTAAAAGTCATGGACGTTGGAATTAAATATATCTGGACCAAATCCCTGCTGCATCAATCATATTTATCAAGGTGCAGAAAACTCTGACATGCTGATCACCAGGACCCTTATTTAGAAAATAGGTTAATAAAATCTGTATGTAAGCTTGGAATGAAAACTAAAAATAATATATGTAACATATTTGTCATGATGCCTTGAACACAATATATAAACTAATATATATATATATATATATATATATATATATATATATATATTAGTTTTAATAATCATTTGGAGAGATAAATTTAATGTGTATAAATGTAAAAGAAAAAATAAGTGATGAACCTTGTGATACTGGCAGAGTTTAAATTTGACTCCTTGATAATTGCCCATTGACATGATTTCTTATAATGCATAGATTAGATATAAATATTCAAATAGTTTGAGCAGAATATATGTATTTTAGTAATATATGCTGACCTCTAGTAGAAAGTTAGTTTTCATCTAGGTACTATAATTTAAACTTCGATATAGACAATGTATCTACTAAAGATATTCATGAAACAAAAACATCAAAAGAATTCCTGGGATTAAAGAAAATATACTGAGTCATATTCTTTTACTTAATATCACATACACATGTACATGCACCCACACATACACACACACACACATTCATGCATAGACACATGCCTGCATGCACACACACACCCCCAAATGCAAAAACCTCTTGCCTTCACTATCTTCTCCAGCTTCTGCTTTATTTCTATGATTACTTTCATCCTCTTCATATTGTCTATCCACATTTCTCTTTTCATTCGATCCTAAAACTACTCCATTTAGGCATTTGCCTCCATACCTTTTCAGTTTGATTTTGCCACAGCAAAAATTCCTTGCTAAAATCCAAAGGTCAATTCTAATGCTTTATCTTAGCGTATCAGCAACATTTGCCACTGATAGGCACTTCTTCCTCTTTTGCTATATGAGTTCAGGATAATAGACATATTTAAAAAAAAACAAACTTATTTCATTGCTTCTCCATTTTCTCTTGCTGCTTCTTCATCATCTGACTTACTAGGTGTGGACTGTCACCAACTCAGTCATTGAAACTTCTCCCAATATTTACTCATTTACCTTTTTGAAGTCCCATAGCTTCAAATATTATCTATTGATGACTTATATATTATATGTAACTGTAGCTTATCTTTTTCTCCTCAACTGTCAATCCATTTATCTATGTATGCATACATCTCTGTATGTATCTCTATCTATCATCTATCTATCTATCTATCTATCTATCTATCTATCTATCATCTATCTATCTATATTTACCTATGCATCTATCTATGTATCTAGTTATGTATCTACCCACCCATGTATCTGGATGCTTACTAGGAATCTCAAACTTAGTATATCTAAAATTGAACACGTGGTCTTACCTCAAAATTTTATCACAGAGTTTCCGAAGTCAATAAGTGGCAACTGCATCCTTCGAATACCTCAAGTCAAACACTTAGAGGCATCATAACTCATATCTTAATCTCATACCCCACATATAATCCATCGTCTCAGTGATACTTTCAAATATATCCAAACTGACAAATTTTCACCACCTCTACTGCTAGCGCTCCTAAATCTTTCCTGTTTCTGTTCTTAGCACTTTCAGTATATTCCTTACATAGTAACTAGAGCTATCAGGTCAGATCATAACATTTGCTTCATAAAACTAGTCAGTGTCTTATTTGGGTCCACTTAATTGTCACTTTTTCTTTGGGAGAATTTGCTGACTACTTATTTAAAGTGGTAAAATCTGCCAATATTCTCTATTACCCTATCCTGTTCTATTTCTTTACTACAAGTTATTACCATTTAATATACTGTTTATTTTCCCTTTTTTTCATTTTGTTTATTATTTGGCCTACCCTGTTATTCCACCTTTGCAAAATCAGGGATCTGGTTTTGTTTTGTTATCATTCCTGTATCTGCAACATTTAGAACAAAGATAAGTGTTTAACCAAAATGTATTGAATAAATTATACCTGTTCAAAAGTTTCATGGATTTCACAATGCACTCATATTTAGCAGTGATAGTTTTGGGGTGAAAGAGTAGGATATTTGAAAATACTTTTTACTATTCTCTAAATCAAAATATCATTAAAATAAATATAAATATATTCACAGAGAAAGACATTTGATTAAACCATTTCACTAAATGCCCAAATTCTTCTGGGTTTTCTCCCGAGAAAGATGTATAGAATTTAACTTTGTATTAGTGTATAATTTACTGACCATCATATTCTGATTATAAAAAGCTAATAAGGTTTTTATAAGGCAGACAATACAGATGGGGCTATTTTTTAACTAATTTATTTATATCCCATATGTAAGTAAAATAATATGACTAACGTAGGATGAAAAGATGGAGAGCTGGTAGCTGAATTAAAATGTAAATACCATGCTTGTTTTTATTGGAACATAAAAAATATATAAAAATAATTTTTAAAACTTTAACAATGAGTTATTTTCAGTTGCTCACTATCCTTGTCTCACTTCTATTTTGTAAAATGTCAAAAGCTTATCTAGTGATATATTGATGGTTCAAGAGCACAGCAAGAACTTTAAAAGCTAGGATTGATAAATGTTCCCAATATCATCCCATACTTTTCTCTTTAATCTTTTCTCCAAGGAACTTGACCTCAAGAGCCCTCTTTCTCCTATTATTTTATTTGCTTTATGTCAAAACTCTAAAAAGCATTTTAAAAACTACTTATAGGAGTGCACTTGTTGTG